CGTTGCATGCGGGCACGTCCACGATGTGCCCAACGAAGTGGGTGCAGCATCGGTGACCTGCGCGCGAGCTAATTTATAGTGAGGCAGACTTGCGCAGAACCTACTGCACTCGCTCTCCGGGCACCCATTTTGCATCGATGGCAAGACAATATCAAGCCGACCGGAGAGAGCGTGGAAGCAGTGGCTTACAAGGCTGACCGGTCCGCCTACGCGTGTTGAACGTGAACTAGTTCCCACTAAATGTACTGGGTCTTTATAAGGACGAAACTGGTTTGCTCTGTGAGGCCAAACAAGTTGATATGTACTCACTCCAGAGACAAGGAAGACCGCTTCAACGGTGAGGAAAGAAATAGCTGTCGACACAAAAGGATTCCATATAAGGCAAATACGCAGTGTTGTAGGGAAAGGGACCAAGACACACGGGTTGTCACTTACGATGAGAACGGGATTTTGTTGATAATGATTTCTCGGCAGAGTGACTTGGCGGAGGAGCCGACCGGGGGCTGGCTCTGACGCCAGCACCCTCAGAGCAGGGCGGTAAAGTAGGAGACTGAGGGGGACTGGGCACTAGAGGCGTGGGAGACGGTAGAGCATCCTCCCGCTGGTTCCAGGTGTTACAAACCATATCAGCGGTAGAGGCAGCAACAACAAAAACGGACTCTGACAGCGAAGGCTTCGAGGGCAGGATAGGCGATGCCAACAGACTCGCCGTATGCACATCCGTACCCCGCAGCGCGACCATGGGTCTCGAGGAGAGCATGACAAAGGGTCCACCGGCCGCTGTAGCACCGCTCACAGGAGTGGAGTAGAGGACGCCCCCACGGGCGCTGCCCGCAGTCGTGTTCGCAGGTGGCAGTCGTGAGGTGTCTGGAACGGGCAGCCAGATAGTTGTTGCCGCGATCCGTTGGTGTTCTTCGCGCCGTGTTAGCGCGGCGGCGGGCAGGTTTCGCAACGGTTTTCTCGCCTCCCGGTGAAATTTGCCCCGGAAGAAATTAAAAGCGGAAAACGTCGACTGTTTGAGACGTTCGGCACGGCCTTTAGAGAAGAATTTGCGTTTCGGTCGAGGCTTGGGGGCGGCCATCGTTGTCGGAGGGCAATTTTCATCCTCACTTATTTCATAGGGATCCGTTTCCTTGGGCTGATCCACAGGTTTCTGGACTGTCTCCGGAGCGGCCTCTGGCTTTTCGCCAGTGGCGAGTGCTTGAGCTTCACCAACAGAGGTCGGATGGCCAGAACTGACCGGCAAAACAACCGATCGTCTGCGACTTCTGCCAGTGCTAGGACTTTTTTCGGACACCTTGGTAGGCAAATGCTCACTTTTTTGCCGCAAAACTCTCTTTGCCGGAGGCGACCCGTCATTCGGCGACGTAGGCATCCTCGTTAACGACTTCAAAACGACAGTCTGTTTCTTAGTTTTCTTTTCTCTCGAAGAAACTGATCGAATTTTAGGTGGAGCAGTCGCTCCGTAGGCATTCTTCGAGGCGGAGCTCCTTAGGGTAGGTTTCAGTTGGGACATCGTCTCGTCAGAAACTGACTCCTGAGGGGACTTTGAAACTCCTGTTTTCCTACCGGACGAATTGGGGAGCGGTTTTGACGGAGATTTTATGCTTTTCTTTCGCTTTGATTTCGGAGGGGGTTTCCTCGACTAAAAGCGGAGAGACAACATAGCAATCAGCCGTGTGGCCGAAGCTGCAAGTCAAGCAATAGCAGGACAAACATGGCTGGCCAGGGGTGAAGGAAGAGGAGACAAAAAAGGAAAATAGATACGTGGAAATGCGTGATGTAAGTGCGTCCTGCCTTCTACTCTAGTTGCTGTTTGACCGACGCGTCAAGAAGTGATGAGGCGAAGGCGTGATACGAAACCAGCATACCTTTGAGTCCGGCAGTCACAGAGCAGCAGCGGCAGCTGTGATATGAAGGCGTGTGAGATCAAGGTTTGAAAAGCCGGATGCCGTATGGAATGCCACAAGTTTGCATGCCGGTAATGTGACCTCGTGAAACAAATTTTCCAGGATATTACTCCAAATTAAACTTGTGCGCTCGCACTAACCGACAAGCTCCACAACCCAAACCCTTCGGTGCTAGCAAACAGTAAGCAATCTTCACTGCTGAATCGGCAGCCGGCCTACAGTACTCGTTCAAGGAAGGTGCTCACGTTTCTCGACCCTGCTACCCAAATTCTGGTAATTTCTAACCCCCAGCGACACAGAGTGGAAGGACCCCAGGCTGAGTTTCCTGAGAAAATATAGGCGAACTCTGCCACAATGGTTCACACGGCTAATCTGGCCACCTCGGTATGGTTATCGGCCTGGTTAGGGGGCGAATTAACAATATCTGACGCGCGAGTCTGTCAATAACCATATAGCGTATGCACAACTGTAAGAATAATTTACTAACACCTCTGTGTTCCCCTACGTCTAACGTCCGCTGTCAACAAGCGTGAAAGTGCAAGAATCGATCAAAAGAGTCCTCCATGATGATGTTTTACTTGTTGGAGGTGATTGGATTAATTGGACTAGGCAGGGCGCAACTTCAAAGAAATACTTGGTTGGCCGCATAAGATTTGGCTCCCGATGCAAAAAAACGAACGACCACAGCGCTTTTCTGAACAAAAGCGTCTGTGCTGCAAAAAATTGGCTATCCAGGCGGTTCGAACCAGACCCCACAATGATGATTCCCTCGGTCGACCCTGTGAAATGACGATCAAGTCGGCTAAAGATCAAAGGGGCTGTCGTGTCGGAGTGCCAACTCCCACAAAACAGGCTTCAAGAGACGGCGATACTCGAAAACATCATCATATGATTCGTCAAAATAAACGTCAGGCTGCATGCACAGGAAATGACTGCGGTGTGAATAACAACTTTACATCTGACAAGTCTACCAAAACCGGACAAACGCATGACTACCTAGAGCATCTTGACAGCTACGATGGTGAATCAACTACTGCCTCCATCTCTGCTCTACCACCCTAATCGCCATTCACAGGGTCAAATCTCACAAACAGTAGTAAGAGTGCGCAACAAGGCGTCTACGAATGGCATACACACGCATGTTCTGCGCCGAAACTGGTGACCACGCTCGATGATGTTACTGGACAAGCATGGGCGATGAGATTGCATCTGATTATTGCAGTTCGGCCAGCAAAGTGTCCATCTTCATGAAGGACTGAGTGTGAAAAATACGCCGGCACAAGTCTCATCGACGACGTTTCAAAGGTATCTACCGGGGACAACCATCAGGCATCGCGCCATGAGACCAGAAGACCCACTGCCACGGCACGGAGCGCCTGGAGTCGTTTACCGGATCTGGTGTAGTTGCGGACGAAGCAGCTACGTCTGAGGAATTGGAAGACTACTCCGGATGTGAATGGCCGAACATGGAAAAGCAATGAGAGGGAATAGCGTTAACACCCAGATTGCGGTTTATTTTACGGAGCCCGCGCATACCAAGTTTGACGAGACCGAAATTCCCGCAAGAGGTGACAACCACATGAGCCGCGAGCTGCTTCAGTCATGGTTCATCGGGCCGTATTCAATTGACAAGCACAACGACCATCCGCCTACATATTTTATGCTGCGATTTTGCCTGAGCAAAATAATTAGCCACGCGGGGAGGGCGCGTGCGACCGATGGTTACGGCGACATTAAGACGAATTGCGGAGTAATCGTTATCCAAAGAATCAACAACACTGATGAAATCACGGCCACTAACGACTCGGGTACGGACCGACGGGCAATCATCGTGTCGAATACGACCCCCAGCGATGAACGCAAGTGCTGCTAATTATCGTAGACATGTGGTTGTCTGGCAACTACAAATATCACGCTCTTTGGGCCTTCATTACTCTTTTCTGATGATGAGTTCAAATGAGAATCTGAAACATCAGGCGAATGCAGTTTTCTGCTCTAGCGATCGCATCTCTTTTTCCGAACTATTTCCTAGAACTTGCGTATTTTTTTTTGTCGGTACCTGCCGGCCAACATCTCAGTACATTTAAAGTGTGCGTGATGCAGGGAAAAACATAAACAAGGTCGGCTAAAGGCTGGACGGGATGCGTCAAAAAGTACCTACAACAGCAAACCGTCGAATTACGCCATGTACGTCAGAGGCATTAAACAACACTCAGCGCGGCTACCCCACTCGTTTGCCTGGTACAACTGTGATCATGCTTGACTCACTCAGCTTTGGCGATTTAACAGATTGTGCTCCATTGTGCGTGGTCTACGGCAGGAGATCTGCTCATATCTACCGACGAATATCGAATACCGAAGGCTCAAGG